ATTCGCATATAAGAATAATTAATGGTGGCCAAGGCCACCATTGGCCACCCCCTGGCTTCACCAGTGCATGTGGTAGTAGATAAAATTGTCCCGTCAGCTCATCAGGATCCAGCACTCTGCACCACCTTGGACAAGAAAAAAAATCTGCCTCTGTTTTTATACACAGTACAAATCTTACCCACATGAAAATCCTGCACCAAAAACATTAAGCATTCCCTGACTAAATGAAACAATGATATTCCTCAGAAACACTGATTTTTTTGTGGTGTCTCAATATAAATTATGAGCTCCTCAAATGATGAATCAAGATCTACTGTTCGTACTAATCAGAGATCCCTTTAAATATTATAGCAATATCAGTGTGGTCACCTACAAAAAAAAAATGTTTTGGATTGAAAATGAAGTATTCTGCATCGTAATCATACTTCATGTAACCCTAACAAACCAAGCTGCATTATAATCTGGTTAAAAAAACAACAGTAACTAACGTAATGTACCTCCTTATGAGACCACAGTCTCCTGCATGATGAACAGGGACACTCACCAATAGCCTTTACATTTAGCTACTTACTGGAAGTCAGTTTTTCATTAATTCTTTTATTTTTTGGAGGGGACAATTTCTATTTTTCCAAAATTAGGAAGGTTCAGACCCCCCAATTTGTAAACTACAGTTCAGACAAAGGTTCTATAAATATATATACATAATGTGTCTCTTCCGTTCTCTGCCCATTTTTCCTCTGTCTAAACTATTAATTTATTAAATTTAGTTTTACGGTGGTTTAAGATGTCAAAACAATTGACCTGAAACTTGTGCAGAACATTGGCCATGCACGTGGCATATAAACAAGAACAAGAAACCTATGTTGTTTAGTTCTGAGCTAAGTATGATAAATTGGGAGGGATGCCTGGTGTCTGATAAGACCCAGTTAAGCAGTAACTCGTGTGTGTTATTTCCAATGGTCATGTTTGCCTGTCTTCACTGTTGACCAATGCTGTAAACATTGTAAGCTTATATTCTCACAAAAAACATTTTATTTTAATACTGTTTTAAAAATAAAACATTCAAACATCTTAATCCCGATTTAGATTCTGTGACAAGCTATCTATTTACCCATCTTTAGTCTTCAAGCTAAGTTATGTTAGCCAGCTGTTGACAAAAAACATATTTAATTAAAATCCCAGCATCCCTTGAAGAAATGCATGTCACCTGTCAACGTTTAAGTCTGTTTTATACCAAGATCATTTTATTTTGGAAAATGATTGAGTTGTTGCCATTTAGGTCATACGTTTAAACTATGCATTGTAAGATCTCACACACGGGGCGGCTGTGGCTGAGTGGTTAGAGCAGTCGTCCTCCAATGCGAGAGTAAGGGGTTTGAATCCAGCAGCAGTCACATGCCGAAGTGTCCCTGGGCAAGACACTGAACCCCTCATAGCCTCTGATGTGTGTCCCATCAGTGTATGAATGTGATCTAAAGCACTGATTAGTCTCTTTAAAATGATTTGTTCAATTAGCTTTGTAGAAATCTAGCAGAGTGCTGTATGAATGAGTAAATGAGGCACAGATTGTAGTGTAAAGTGCTTTGAGTATCTTGAAACAAGATAGAAAGGTACTATATAAGTACAGTCCATTTCCACAATCAACAAGTGTTCGAAGTATGTGTTGTGAATGAGTCTCAGCTACCACTACATGAAAATGTAGCTCAATGGCCACTTTTGTGTTTGAAAAAGTCATTTAGCTGGGGTGGCCTTCTTGCCCCCCGTGGCAGAGCAAATGGGGGAATAAAAAGGTGAAATAGTGGAAGAGCTCCACTGGTTAAATTTGCTCCTCCATCCACTAGGATCTGTCACTCTGTGCTGCCTCGGACAAGAAATAAAGAACAGCCTCTGTTTTTCTACACAGTGTAACACCCACTTGAATTTCTTGAACCCAGAACATTAACAACAAAGTCCATGCTCAATAATCCAAGTATATAATCCAACATTTTTCAGTCAGGTCATCTGGACAGTTTCTTTTTTTGTGCTGGTACCAAAGAGACCGTCTTATCACAAGCAAAACTGGTTTGTCTCTTTGGTACCAAAGAGACCATCTTATCACAAGCAAAACTGGTTTGTTCCACTTTGGAGTAAACTGTTGGGGGAAGAATCAGTTTTGTTGTGCGTTTCCTTGACTGATGAAGCCTTCCGGATCGAAGGCGAAACGTTTCAGCACAAAAAAAGAAACTGTCCAGATGACCAGAACATTAAGGTTTACATGCATTCTCTGTTCAGCTCCAGTGCAGAAAAACACATCTTGAAAACGTCAAACATTCACTATTCAAATGCATCAGCAACAGGAGACATCGGGGTACTGCTCGTTAGCTATAGTTATTCATCCAGTTATATTTTCTTAAAGTTTCATTAAAATTCATTCACTGGTTCATGAGATTTTTGGCCAACAAATAAGCAGAGTTGAGTGTAAAAGTTAATGCAAATGTTTTATGCAAATATCCAGTGCAATGTGGCAGTGTTCAGTTGTCGAAGGTGTCTCTCAGATGCAACTAAAACAAATTTTCTCTCAGTATTTGTAAAACTGACTGAGTTGTAGCCATTTTTGTGTTTTGTAAGGTCAGCCCATATTAAATCAGGTTGACTTTAAAAGTTATTCAGTTGTGGAAGTGCATTGTTGTTTTCAGAGTTTCATTAAAATCCATCCATGGTCCATTTTGCAAACAGACCAACAAACACACACACACAAAGTCAAAGACAAAACATTATTAACGGCCTTTTGCCTTTGAGATAGAAGAACAATATCAAGCTTCTCATCTTGGTACTAGAAACTAAAGAATTGTATTGCAGCTGTGTGTGAAATGGCTGGGATGAAAGTCAGTTCCTCTAAAGGGCCCAACGTACTCATCCAAAGTGCTGAAATCTTCTCTCATTGTCGCAGTTGCGTGACAAAAATTGTGTAATTTTGTTTGCAGAGCAGTTTCGCCCACCCCTTCTCAACACAAGGCCTTGGCCAAACTTTTTCTCACAGGCGTAAATGATAAGTACTGTGTGACTGGTCAGAAGATTGAAGGTGTGTTTGTCAATGTGGAAATGTGCTTGGACAGTCAGCTGCATGACTAAACAAACACACTAAATTAGTCAAATGGCCAAACACTCCTGGAGGAAGACCTCGTGCATGGAGAAGTCTGTCTGCTGGAAAGTGTGGCGCTTTCTTCATGACAGAATGTGGCCAAATGGGGGATGCAAAGATGGAGTGGAGACTCTGGTGGGAAGAAAACCACGTGGTGACAGATACTGCAGTGGAGGGGTTTCCCATGAGCGCTGTGCTGTGTCTCGTGGACTATGAAAGGTGTGGGTGAAGACAAACGTCCACAACCATGTGACCACACGTCGACTGTTCAGCTTCAGACGGAGTACGTTTGGCTCTTCAGTCTGAGCCAAGGTTCTTAACCCTGAAACAGATTCTTGTTCACAAGTGACGGTAGGTTGGAGTATGAAATAGATCAACGATTCAGGGCCTTGTCCTCAGTAATAAGGTTGTTGCTTCAGTCACTTGTGGTGAAGAAAGCCTTGAGTTGAAAGGCAAAACTCATAATTTACTGGTCACCCTCACCTGTGGCCATGAGATATGGCTCATGGCTGAAAGTACGAGAACCCTGATACCAGTAGCCAAAATGAGCTTGATAGGGTGGCCGGGCTCAGCCATAGAGATAGGGTGAGAAGCTCCTGAAGCGGAGCTTCTGCTCCTCTGCATCAAACGGAGTAAGTTGAGGTGGCTCAGGCATCTGAATAACATGCCTCATGGATGCCTCCCTTTGGAGGTTTTCCAGGAATGTCCCACTAGTACGAGGCCCCAGGGCAGACTCAGAATTTGCCGGAGGGATTATTTAATCCTCTCTAGCCTTGGAACACCGTGGGGTCCCCCAGGAATTGCTAGAGAGTGTCGCTGAAGAGAGGGAAGTCTAGGTTTCTCTCCTGGATCTGTCGCCTCTGAGACTCGACCACTGAAAAGCGGTAGAAGATGGATATAAAGAAACTAATCCTATTTTCACAAAAGTCTTTCCTTCAACAACTCGGGTCTTTTTTGCAGGGACTGTTAAAACGTTCTGCAGTCTGTAACCACAGTGAGAGAACTGGCTTGTGTTAAGTGGAAAATGCTACATTTTTGTCCCAAATCAGTCATGTTTGAATTGGGTTCAACTGCCACCACATTCAGCCTCGTTTCACATTCTTTTCATTTTTATGTGTGGGATGGTTTGCTTTGGTTCAAAAAACAACAACCGCGTTGTGATGAAGTAACCCATCACAGTAATATTATTTATTCATTTCCTTTACTGTACCGCTCTGGAGGAGAGGCTGTAGCAGTCTGCACAGTCCAAAGGAGACTATAGGGATTCATTCATTTAAACTATGTTTTTACTTTAAATTGAACCTTTAAACTACTGGAAAGGACAAAGATTTATATTGTTTCTTCTCTTTTTCCATGCAGAGCTACAGTATCATGCCTCCCACGTCCCAATAAAAGGACTTTTCTCTGTTGTCTCTTGTTTGTAACAGGCTGCCTGCAGTGTCAAAGGTGAGTCTGTAAAGATTAGTTTGGCGACAGGGACGCAGGCTCTAAATGAGAATATGTTTCTTTTAAAGACCGTCAATGATTTGATACAGGAAATGCCAAACTATTTTCACACAAAGTGGGGAAAAAACCCATCTGAACAGGAATGTCAAGAACGGAAAGTTTTCTGTTCAGGAAAAAAGAAAAAAGTGAAAATGAGGTTTAATAAATCTGGAAAGGATTGTAGGGGTTTTGATTACCAGCAGGAGTTGAAATATGTTGAGTGCAGCTCTACTTCAATAAATTTAACAACCTTTACAGAACACCTACGTGTATCTGTGACAGAGTGATTCGATGCAGATCAGCACACGGACGTTGTCTCTGGCCTTCAGCTGACTCTTACTCCTCTTCACCTCACTGTGATCTGTAAGGAGGCACAATGATTAGTCTCACAAAAACACAATGTCTTCTTTTTATCTCCAACTGAGCATTTTAATTCTTAGGATCTGACAACCAAACATTCATATGCTCTTATTAACGCTGTGTGTAGAAAACATCTAAACAAATCGTTGCATTTTCACACAATAAACTACCTTTTTCATACATGAGGAACCTGCAGAGGTCCATACATGTTATGTTATACAGTGTTAACAGTAAAACTAAATATTCAAAGAGTGGTTCTTATTGCTAAAAAAGCCTCTTCTTTAAAACTCTGGAGAGGTTTAAACGTTAATGTGCTTCTGCATTTACACTTATCTATGTGCAAAATGTTTTTGGCAAGAAAAGGACTTTTAAAAGCAATTTCTAAAATGTAACTTGTCAGGATCTGTGTTTTTGGGCCATTTTGACTATATTTTTTGTGTTTTATAATTTGTGATCACTGTGTTTATTTTACTGCCTTATGCATTAGTTTGTTTTTCGGGGGGAGCGGTGGCGCAGAGGTTAGAGAAGGTGAGCCTGTGACTGGAAAGTCGCTAGTTTGAATCACCCTGACTGCAACATCAAACATTTGGGTGGGAAATGTGAAACACCCACGTCTGCCTCCACCCAGGGCGGCTGTGGCTGAGTGGTTAGAGCAGTCGTCCTCCACTGCAAGAGTTGGGGGGGGGGGGGTTCAAATCCACCAGCAGTCACATGCCGAAGTGCCCCTGAGTAAGACACTGAACCCCCCATTGCCTTCGATGTGTGTCCCATCAGTGTATGAATGTGATAAAGCTCTGATTAGTCTCTTTAGAATGATTTGCTCAGTTATCTTTGTAGAGATCTAGTAGAGTGCTGTATGAATGGATAAATGAGGCACAGATTGTGTTGTAAAGAGCTTTGAGTGTCTTGATAATATAGAAAGATGCTATTTACCATTTACCCCCATATTCCTCTGGACCCTTGAAACCCTCCCCCCCTCCACCCATCCCAGCATCTATGCTAGTAAGAAAAATGTCAGCCTTGGCCTTGAGTTGAGAAGGGCCAGGCGAAGCTACTATGAGAACAAAATGACACAATTTTCATCCCCCAACTACGTCAATGAGCCAATTAGGCCACTTCAGATGGAGAATGCAGGATCCTTATCTGCAAGGCTTGAGAAATTACAAGAAATATGTGAACAAACCATTTTTAGAGTTTTAATCATCAAACATAGTCTTTGTTGTGTTTTCTCAAGCAGCTTTTTAACCTTTGTACTACGACTCACATGTAATCATTTGCACATGTACTACAATTATAAACTATTTATTGTACTGAAAGTAACATCAGTTCAAAGTTTTAGTAAAAGTGTTGTGATATAATTACAGCTGCAGTATGTGCTTGAGTAAAAACAAAAACTGGTGTTGGCAGTGGTATAAAAAGTGTAGTGTGTTTATATTTTTCATTAAAAACCAACAGAATTTTACCGCCCATTATCTATTTTTAAGAATGTTTTGTGTAATGTATAGCTGATATTTATTTATGACACCTGGCTGAGAATACCCATCCCACACTTATGAAGTAAAGTTTTAATCAAGTATCCAAAAAAGTTAAATCTGGTCCTCTGGACATTCAAAAACACAAAAAACAAAACAAAGCAAAAAAAAAAAATGTAGATACCTTTCATCTCTCATCCGAAAGACTTCCTCAGTCTGAGGTGCTGTATTCAGCTCAGTCTCTTAAATAGCACCTTCTCAGAGTGGATCAACCAGTTTGCTGCTGACAACCAAAACCAGTTGCTCACATGATCAAGAAGGACCATCAGCCTAACAATGGATCATTAGCACACTGATGGCTGTTTACTATTCACAGGGGGTTGAGTGATACTAGCAATAACAGCATTGTAAGAGGGGGACAGTTGAACCCGGAGGCCTCCAACCCTGTTTAATGATGGATGATTTCCTTTCACAAAGATGGCCTCCTTTACTCCACTCTCAAACCATCATTCCTCTCTGTCCAGGACATGAACATCTTCATCCCTGAAAGAGTGACCGCTGGCCTGGAGATGAGTGTAGACCGCAGAATCCTGGCCTGATGATGTTGATCTTCTGTGCTGGGCCATCCTTTTGGCCAGTGGCTGTTTAGTTTCCCCAATGTAAGACTGATAGCAGCCCTCCTGACATTTAACAGCATACACAATATTACTCTGTTTGTGCCGGGGGACTGGATATTTGGGATAAACCAGTCTTTGCCATAATGTATTTTGGGGTTTAAAAGGCACTGGAACGTTATGTTTAGAAAATAAACGTCTCAGTTTCTCTGATACTCCCTCAACATACGGAATGACCACTGGTCTGGGTCTGGGTTCCTCCTTTTCACCTGATGGCTGACTGGAGTCCTGTTTGGGTTTCTTCTCTGCTTTCAGGAAGGCCCAGTTAGGATATTCACATTGCTCTAGAGCCTGTCTTGTGTGGGATTTCTCCTTCTGCCTGGCTCCTGAATTAGTGGGGATGCTGTCTGCTCTGTGGTACAGAGTTCTGATGACTCCTAACTTGTGCTCCAAAGGGTGATGGGAGTCAAACTGCAAATACTGGTCTGTGTGGGTGGGTTTGCGGTACACCTCAGTTTGCAAATGTCCTCTATCAGAGACTGAGACCTCACAGTCCAAGAAAGCCAACCTGCCATTTTTTTTTAACAATGCTGTTATTGCTAGTATCACTCAAACACCTGTGAATAGTAAACAGCCATCAGTGTGCTAATGATCCATTGTTAGGCTGATGGTCCTTCTTGACCATGTGAGTAGCTGGTTTTGGTTGTCAGCAGCAAACTGGTTGATCCACTCTGAGAAGGTGCTATTTAAGAGACTGAGCTGAATACAGCACCTCAGACTGAGGAAGTCTTTCGGATGAGAGACGAAACATATCTACATTTTTTTGCTTTGTTTTGTTTTTTGTTTTTTTGAATGTCCAGAGGACCAGATTTAACTTTTTTGGATTTTTCTACCTGGATTATTGAGCATGCATCAGGATATTTTATTCAAGTAGTGGTCAAAATGCAGAAATACTGAGCTGTCCTCATGTGTAGTTATTTTCTCTGTTACCCTAAAATGCAAGAACAGTTTTCACAAATCACAACATTGAAAAATGCAACGAAAGCCTCATTTGGTCAAACACAATGTGAAATCTGTCAAAAACAAAATGTCAAAAACACAATAACGAATACAAACACTATGTCAAACTTTAATCCTAACATGTTTAAATAACCATAATCTATCAAAACTAAAAGCTCCTCTAGAGAAGGGAGGTATTAATCTCCCAAATTTCAAACTTTATTATAATGTAGCACAATCAAGAACTATTTTTCTGTAGTCACATAATTACGTAATTACAATGGATATACCCCTCCCTGGGCTGCTACCTTACTGTGGTGGAGGGGTTTGAGTGTCCCAATGATCCTAGGAGCTATGCTGTCAGGGGTTTTACACCCCTAGTAGGGTCACCCATGGCAGACAGGTCCTAGGTGAGGGACCAGACAAAGTGCATTCCAAAGACCCCGGTGATGAGAAAAATAAACGGACCTAATGTTCCCTTGCCCGGATGTGGGTCACCGGGGCCCCACTCTGGAGCCAGGCCTGGAGGTGGGGCACGTGGGCGAGTGCCTGGTGGCCGGGCTTTTACCCATGGAGCTCGGCTGGGCACAGCCCGAAGAGGAGACGTGGGTCCCTCTTCCCATGGGCTCACCACCTGTGGGATGGGCCAAAGGGGTCGGGTGCAATGTGGGATGGGTGGTGGCCGAGGGCGGGGACCCTGGCGGTCTGATCCTCGGCTACAGAAGTTGGCTATTGGGACGTGGAATGCCACCTCACTGGTGGGGAAGGAGCCTGAGCTGGTGTGTGAGGCTGAGAGGTTCCGGCTAGAAATAGTCGGACTCACCTCTACGCATGGCTCTGGCTCTGGAACCAGTTTCCTTGAGAGGGGCTGGATACTCTTCCACTCTGGAGTTGCCCCTGGTGAGAGGCACCGAGCAGGAGTGGGCATACTTATTGCCCCCCAACTTGGTGCCTGTGTGTTGGGGTTCACCCCGGTGAATGAGAGGGTGGCCTCCCTCCGCCTACGTGTGGGGGAACGGGTTCCGACTGTCGTTTGTGCTTATGCACCAAACGGCAGTTCAGATTATCCACCCTTTCTGGAGTCCTTGGAGGGGGAACTGGAAAGTGCACCTCCTGGGGACTCCCTTGTTCTGCTGGGGGACTTCAATGCTCATGTGAGCAATGACAGTGAGACCTGGAGGGGTGTGGTTGGGAGGAACGCCCCCCCGATCTGAACCTGAGTGATGTTCTGTTGTTGGACTTCTGTGCTCGTCATGGATTGTCAATAACGAACACCTTGTTCAGGCATAAGAGTGTCCATATGTGCTCTTGGCACCAGGACACCCTAGGCCACAGTTCGATGAACGACTTTGTCATCGTCTCATCTGATCTGCGGCCACATGTCTTGGACACTCGGGTGAAGAGGGGGCGGAGCTGTCCACTGATCACTACCTGGTGGTGAGTTGGCTCCAATGGTGGGGGAGGATGCCGGTCAGACCTGGCAGACCCAAACGTATTGTGAGGGTTTGCTGGGAACGTCTGGCAGAGTCTCCTGTGAGACGGAGTTTTAACTCCCACCTCCGGGAGAACTTCGAACATGTTCCAAGGGAGGTGGGGGACATTGAGTCAGAGTGGACTATGTTTCGTGCCTCTATTGTCGAGGCGGCTTACCGGAGCTGCGGCCGCAAGGTTGTCGGTGCCTGTTGCGGCGGCAGGCTGAAGAAGGAGTCCTATCAGACCTTTTTGGCCTGTGGGACCCCGGAAGCAGCTGATGGGTACCGGTAGTCCAAGCGACATGCGGCTCGGGTGGTCCCTGAGGCAAAAACTCGGGCATGGAAGGAGTTCGGAGAGGCCATGGAGAATGACTTCCACACGGCTTTGAGGCGATTCTCGTCCACCATCCGGCATCTCATGGGGGGGGGGGGGGGGGGACCGGT